CTGAGAATAGTCGCTTCAGCTTTTTTTTTTTTTGCCAACTTCCATACGTACCACAGATTATATGTACTATACGCCAGCTTCACATAAAAAGAATCTGTCCTCCTCCCAACACACACATGCAGGAATTCATCGGGGTCATGAAAGAGCAGATCTGTCCGCCCAAGTCGTGTTTGCACAAATCTGACGGGCGGTAAAACATATTCAGTGCCCCTCTCCGGAGTCCTGCGTCACGTCGTTGCCTATTTTTCTACGCCGCTAATCTAATTAGCCCTCTGAGCCATCAGCAGACAGATGAAGGGGAAGCTCCAGGTCTTGACCCATTGACCTGCAATGGGTTGTCAACACCGTGGAGGGTCAGTACCGGTCAGCCGGGTTCACTGCTGCTGCCTTGAACCGAGGATTCCTAATTATCAAAGAGGCTGCAGATGAACAGATGAGTCGGGTTTCCATCATCAGATAAACCGACGGACACAGCTGCAGTGTTCAGCCACAGACAGGAGGAGACGTGTGATGTGATGCCCTGAATGGAGCAGGCCCGTCCACAAACCCCGTGTTTACATGACGCCTAAAGAGGCCAGGTCCTCCTCGTCTCCAGCTTACATACTTCTAAAGAGGCTTAGTCATTTTCCTGTCCTCCTTAAGGCACATGCTGCCTGCCCTTAAAACCTCCGCAGATCCCCGTACAGGACATGAAGCAGCCTAATCCCGCAGCAGTTAGTAAAACATACGTTCATTCAGCGTCTATCAGAGCGTTCAGCTGGTTTGTTAGACCGCCCGTCTGGTTTGTTAAACACATCAGGAAGAGCTTTAACTCGCACTCAGCTCTTGATGTTTTGAACAGGAAGGAGGAAGTTCAAACTGATCTCAACCTTTTGAGACCCAAATCTGAGAAGTCAGACATTAATCAAGCATCAAATTTAACTTTTCTGTTCAGGAATACAAGTAAATAACAAGAATCTGACATTTTAATCAAGAAATATTAATGTGCTTTAACTATATATATATATTTTTTTTTTGTAAAACTGGAAATTTCAAAACGCCTGGATAGCAATAATAATCATATTTAAGCATTAAAACTATCATTTTCGCTCGCCCATAACATTGTGTTGTAATGGTGCATGTACTTTGTAAATAATCACAACTTGTTCAGTTTTCAGAGGTCAGAGGTCAGAGGTGTGGTTATAACACTGCACTGATGGATAATGATGTTTCTTCTTTTCAGACAATAGAAATTCTAGGAGATGGTTCTTTACCTGACATGTTTCGACTGGAGCTTCAGTCTTCCTCAGAGGCGTCAGCTGATCGCCGTGACGTGTCATTTATTAGGTGTTCCTTATGGGCTTGCTGGCTTCTTAAACAAAGCAGTCAAGGTTGTTAGCAGCGCCGCTAAACAGGGATATTTTTCCTTTTAGACTAGAGGAAAGAAAAGCTGCACAAATCACAAACAGATTTAGTATCAGGACTTTGTTTTTTTTCTTTATTCATCCTATTAATAATCTGCTGACCTCTCCGATCGATCCGCTGTCCCTGTATATAAACCGTGGACATGACGGAGTATTCCTGCTCGGATCCACCTGCAGCAGCTGCATTTAATTCAGTTAATTCATTTAAAACATTTGATTTATTTATTAAAACACATAATTTCGAGACACATGAAATAAATGCAGACACGCTTGATATCAGGTAGAAACTGAATTTAAAGATGCTACAAAGGGCAGCAATCAACAAATAAAACAAGACAAATAAGAATTAAAACTTAATTTAAAAGCAACGGCAGCTAGAATCAGCAAGAGCAGCTCTTAAACCTTGGAGTATATTTGAAGTATGTGAAGTAAAGAAACTTCTAACTTTCTGGACCCTGCAGGGTGATCCATGTCCGTGCAGCAAACTGTTGGTAAAGCATCTTTATGAATAAATAAAAACCTGTGTTGATGCATCCTCACTGACCAGCCAGGTTGTATTTCACTGTTTTTTTCAGAAGGGAATTGTTTGTCTCACGACTACCTCCAGTGATGAAACTTGAGCTGGAGTTGTGCAGCTGAAGGTGTGAATCTGGAACCAAACAAGCCGCCGACTCACTGATGCTCTGCTATTAATAATCCCACCGCGTCACATCAGCCACGGCCACCAAACCTTTTACTTTAATTTTCTGGGTTTTTCAGGCAGGACTTGTGCTGCATTGTTTCTGTATCGTTACTCACCGAAATACGTTCAGACTCTTCTGATGCTTCAGTCATCGTCTTGTTCATATGGTTTTGCAGTTTATTTCTGGAAAATATACAAAAAAAGGAGAAACTAGAGATTGAAAGAAAAATAGAAAAACAAGCAGCAACTCATCCGACGAGGAGCCCTGCGTGGAGTTTGGTTCTTTTTTTTTTGTTTTAAACAGATAAATAAAGAATGCTTGGACAATGGGAGGAATTCAGACCATGTCTTCTTAGATAACTTCCAGTCAGCACTCTGTGGGTGAGTCACGGCTTCTCCTCTGTTCCAACCAAACTAATCCAAGATCCTCCCTTTAGATCAACACGTTCCACACACTGAGGCCCAATGATTCAAACCAGATGAGTTTTTAATTATAACAGTGGAGATAAAGAATGGCTGTTTATCAGATCAGAGATTCTCGTCAGGTCTTTACTTCCTTCATCAAACACACGAGGCTCAGAGGAAGACTCTCTGTTTGCTCAGGATCTACCGTCCTCGTCGCTCCGCAAACACGCCGACTGAACCGTGGGTCCGGTCGCCTCCGACGCTCGCTCGGTGCTTATCAGTTTAATTAGCGCTCCGTCGGGCCTCCCACGGCGGCCGCAGGTCTCTCCAGGAAGCCAAACGCATGCTGTGCAGCTCGGCCCCGAGCGGCCCCGTAATTAAGTCTAATTTGAGAGAAACAAGACGGATGCTGAATGCAAAAATGTGATGGTTTATAAGTGTTTCAGTGGAATTCAATTGTAATCGTGAAACCAAAAAGCACTTAAATGAATGGATTCCACAGCAGGGGGTCAAACTGGGTTTAGCTCAGCGGTCACATGTGGCCAAAATTGGATCTCCAGTGACACCAGAACATAACGACCTATAAATAACTACAGTTCATCATTTACACGCGTGCATTACAACTTGAGAAGACATTTAATCACAGTTATCTAAACAATATAGTACATTTATACATTTATTTCCACATCTGTGTAGTAATCCCGACCCCCTGAACTGAGACGCCACGAAGTCGGGCCACATTGGACCCTGTGACCTTTTCTGCATGCTCCTGTAGAATAACAGGGTTGAGCCGATACTCCACAGGTGACGGCGACATTTACACCAACGTGCACTGTTTTGGAGCTAAGAAGCAGTGTTTGGGGGCAACATAAGGACAATGATCATATTATAGAAGTGTGGTTTTAGTAGAAAACTGTAGTGAAAGAGGAAGAAATGTCCAGCAGGTTGGTTGTTTAGCTCGGAGTTAACTCTTATAACATTATAAGTTACAAACCAGTAGGAAGAGGCTGTTTTAGTTTCCATCAAACTTATACAGACGTGACTCGATAATCGACCCTTAACAATCCTAAACCTGCTATCCGACAGGTTTTTAGGAAAAACCAACAGAACCCATAAAAACAGCCTTAACATAGCGACAGCCTTGGATTGTGACTCCGACATGACATTTAATGTCACCAATCAGGATGACGGCGTATTATCTGACTGAACAATCCCACAGATTGGCTACGTTCACACTGCAGGACTTGATGCTCAATGAGGATTTCTTTGTGACTTCCTTCACGTTTCCAGTTCAATGCGACTTGTACGTGATCTGCTGTGTGAACTTCATACGACCCAAAAGTGTCCCGCATGCGCAGAAGAGGACACGACGACGTCACACGCAGCGAGCGTGCTCAGTGTTTATGGAAGTAAACATGGATGGTAACGGTGGAGCGTATCTGCCACTCCCCCGCCGCCACCGATGGAGGAAACAGAAGTGTGAGCGCTAACTAAACTAGCATCAGCAGCCAAGTACTGCCTGTGTGTTCTGGACACTTCCACCCCGTCAGAGCACAGGGCAGCTGTGGCTCACAGCGGTTGTCCTCCATTTGCAAGGTTGGTGGTTCCATCCCCTCCACAGCCGAAGTGTCTTTGGGCAAGACACTGAACCCAAAGTTGCTCCCAATAGCAGGCAGCACCTTGCACGTCACCACTGGTGCATGAATGTGTGTGAATGGGTGAATGAGAAACACATAAAAGCGTCTATAAGTGCAGAACATTTACCCCCGGGGTGGAAGTGGCCGGAACGTGCACAATCACAGTTAGACATGAAATCCAGCGATGCGTAGTGTTCTAACAATACACTGGTTATTATAACAACAATGAACAATAAACACCTTCCAGCATCAAGCCCTCCTTGTATCTGGACCTCCATCTTGACAATCCGACAGCCTTGATATCCGACATGAAAGAAGGTTTTACATTTAGTGTCGGATTATCATGACTGTACTCATATGGCTGCTGTATGTGGAACATTGTTGAGATAGTTCAGTTTCTACAAAGTCACTTTGACCTTCGTTAACTGTCGGCTGCACAAACAAAACAAGTCCCTCCATGTGAAACCAGCGTCTCACATGGACCTGAAACGGGACCATCAAGTGGCCGCAGAGCTAAATGCAGGCGTGCTGAGGTTTAGAGGGATAAGCCCGATAAAATCCTTCCAGATTGATCTTTGACATTGTCTCCCCGGCATAAGCTGCATCCTCTCCACGCCACGGTAAGCAGGCAGGTGGGCAGGAGGGAGGGGTGGAGCGCCGGGAACAAGGGCAGCGAGGAGCCGGGGAGGGAGGAGGGAGGCGCTGGAGATGCTGGCCTGAAGTTCGGCTGACCTTTTCCGACGACCACGTGACTGGATCGAGGAGGATGTGGGGATTAGAGATGAAGGTATAAAAGTGCGAGGCGGACGACACACTTCACAAACTCAAGGAGAAGGAAGCAGCAGCAGCAGCAGCAGCAGCAGCAGCCTCCAGCGGAGCAGAGATCAGCAGTGGCCTCTCGGGATATCTGTGACAACAGGTAAGAGCAAACTGTTTTCCTGCCACCGCGTCGACTTCCTCACGAAGCCGCCAGACCTGGGAGCATATTAATTATAACTGATAGCAGCTGCTGCGAGTACAACTTCTAATGTCTCCCATGGCGCCAAATTAGGAGCAGTAACAGCAACTACTTGTGGATTAATTATAAGTAAACGAAGTAGTGGGTGAGGACAGGGAAGAATTTCGACGGCTTTGATGATGAAGGAGGCAGCTGTGCATTGTTTACCTGCAGCTGAGGAGCAACACAAGAAGAAGCTCTAATGAATGAGTGACAACAGAAAGCCTTCAACTATATAAAGAAAAAACTGAAAGTGGTTTGATGTTCTAAAATCAATTATAAAATGCTCAAGAAGGCAAATGTTTTTTAAAAATGAGAAAGGAGAAGGCATGAGAATAGGAGGAGGAGGAGGAGGAGGAGAGCAGGTGTGAGGAGCTTCTAAAGCCAGGTGTAAAGAGGATTGACTCGAGGGGCAACAATCACAGCAACCAGATGGCTAATAACATGCCGGGCAGCGTCTCCGCGGCGCAGCTCAGCCGCAGCTTCACAGATCTGCACATGAAAGCAGGATATTGTGCTCAGGAGAGCCTCGGCGCTCCCTCCTGTCCTCGGGCGGTCCGGCTCTGCTGCCGCTGCCGATGCTGATGCTGAGGCAGGTGCTGCTTCTGTTTGAGTTACATAATGTCCAAAAGCGGGGCGTTTTTCACCCCCTGTCAAACTGCCTTAATGGGATTACCAGCATCAGCAGTCGGAGGGAGGCAGGAGGGGAGGGGAGGGGGTAAGAGCTGGAGCTTAGGTGGGATGCTGCTGAAGATCTGGTTTGAGATGAGAACAAGTGGAACACGCTGATATTTTGTCAAGAGATTTGCACTGATGTGAGTTACTGGTTGGTGCAGCTTCACTCAGATTCAAATCTAGCAATAAACACAGCAGTCATAATCTAAATGAGTAAATGGAAGTAGAATATTACCCTAACGACGGGGCTGTGTGGGCAATAACTCTCTGATGTTAAAGTTCTGAACCAGCAGGAGGTCAGAAGTCTGAGCTCATGGAAAAGTTTGAGGTCAACAATAAAGGTTGTTTCCTTCTCCCACATGACGTCCTGACTGTCTGAGAAAAGGCAATTAGCCCGCCGAGGATCATGTGGGATTAGAGCTAATCTGGCTGTTTAACCTCATTGGCATAATCTCCTCTGATTGGCATCGAGAGCTGGAAAGTAACAGGATTAGCAGAGGGCGACAGAAGGCCGAGCGACAACAAGGCGCACGTGTACATTTCTCACTAAAGACACGTCTTCTTCTTCTTCTTCTTCCAGAGACCCTCAGCAGAAATGAACGCCAGCCCCCCTGCAGGAAGCGCCCTGGCCCCCGGCGGAGCCACCGGCCCCACCACACCCAAGAAGGGCCCACCCAAGTTCAAGCAGAGGCAGACTCGTACATTCAAGAGCAAGGCCCCCAAGCCCGGCCAGAAGGGGTAAGAACCAGCTGATACCACTCGGTCACATCGTACCGACTAATACAACATGGCCGCTGACCTCCTCCTCCTCCTCTCTTCCAGCTTCGGTGACGACATCCCCGGCATGGAGGGTCTCGGCACAGACATCACCGTGGTGTGCCCATGGGAGGCCTTCGGCGACATGGAGCTCAGCGACTTGGCCAAATACGGCATCATCTAAAGCTGCTGCCTCCTGCCTTCCCCGCCTGCCTGCTCCTCTCCTCTCTCTAATCCTCTCCGCCCGGCCTTCTCTCCACCTCAGCTCGGCACGCCGCGATAAGGCTGCCGGCAGACCCACTAATGCCCTCTCGTCTATCTACCTCAGGCTGCCCTCCACTGAGTGGACGGGCGGCGTAATCATGTGCTTATGTTATTATTATTATTATTATTATATGATACTGTTTACAGTATTTATACTTGAAACTTGAAGAAGACGAGAAACCACCTCCCCTCTTCCTCCATCTATACTAGTCCTCTCCTCACTTCTCCTCCCTCCCTCCCCCACCTCATCTCCCTCCCCCCCCCACTCCTCACCCACGGCAATGGACGCAAGCAAAACACGGGTTAACACTAGCTTGGATTTGCTTCTAGCTGTCTATTAAAATGTAAATAATTTGTTCGCAGCGTTGAACCTTTTTACCTTGTCTTCCGTCGTACCTTTTGTACTTCCTCCCTTCTTTTATTGTCCACTGTATTTTCTACTCCTTGACTGCAAGGCTTCTGTAAACACCCGGGGATGTAAGGAGAGCGTGCACTGCGCCGCCATGGCGACGGCTTCGATGCACTAAGATCACGGAGGAGGAACTCCCTTTTATCCCGTCTCTCTCTGTCTCTGTCTGTCTCTCCTTGCTGCTATCTGAACCCACGTCCCTCCTTAGAGAAAATCAAGGCTGATGCGTTTTGTGTTTGCAAACACAACAACGCGGCAAATGTACTGTGAGCTGGTTTGTCCCGATAGCTGCAGTAAAATGTATTTATTTTTAGAACTGATGGCGTCTGTCTCTTTTTTTCCTGAAACACAAACACACACAAACTGGTGGATGATGCAAATAACACAGTTTGAGTTTTTGCATTTTTATGAAGAAAATATAGAGAAATAAACGATAGGTAATTGAATGTCTTATAAATGTTTGTTATATTACGATATAATACATAAATAAATGATTTTCTATTTGTTGAAGGTTCATAAAGATACAGAAAATTAACAGAATTTTTTTTTTTCTCTCTTATTCATGCCTATGTCGGAGGCTTCTTGCTCTACTTGCCTCTGATTGGTCAGCAGAGCTTCCCAACCTGCAGTTTTGAAGCATTACACACACCTATTAAGTTGCACATAAGAGATCAATGGCATAATATAGGCTGGCGGGCGTGTGGACTTTAATTGGGCTGTTATGTGGAAATTGCTTCAACACGCCCTGCTTACTCGGATATTGCTGCACGCCAACACGCCCCACCATTAGCAGCACCGGTGGCCTCCCCCGGCGGGAACATGTGCCCGGCCACGCCTGGAACACCTCACGGTACAACAAAGGTACTGACCCGGCCTCAAAACCAATTAAGCGTCTCTTAATCACGAGTGAAACCAAGTCAAACAAATCATTTGCTGCTAAAAATATCAGCAAAGAAGCAGCACAAACGGGCGTCTAGCTACATGTTGAGGACGTCCTATGATGACAACAGTTCCTGCTTCTCTGTGACAAGAAAATGAGTAAAACAAGGCCTGACATACAAATTCCTCTTTTTCTGGATAAACTCCTTGTACCTTTTTGATAATACTTTGCACTGTGGCTACTTGAAAACGCTCAGATAAAACAGCAACAACGTGTAGCTCCTTTTCCCTGATGGACCTTAATAACAGGCTCACTGAGCGCTCTGGTTTCAGCCCTGACGTACGACTGACCAGTACCTCACTGGAGAACTTCTGCTGATCTCAGTTTATCAATTTATAGTTTGCTAGAACATTGAAGAACTTGGTAGACATTTCTGGGACCTTCTGTAAATGGGAGAGGAGCTGCATTTTCTCAAAAATTTGCGAATAAACCCAGGAAAACAAACAGAGTAGTTATAAATAATATAATAACAATAAAGTATACTTTACTTCTGTATATATAGAGGGTTGCTTTTTTTGAAGGTTGGAGCATTAGTCCTAAATTAGTCAAATTAATCTGCATAATTAGCAGTATTCATTATAGCTGGGTAAAGTTGCACTTTA